ATTTAATCAATATCAGTGTACAGTCGGTAAACACTGACCGTCTGTTTTATTTAACTGTGAGACGATTAGGCATTAACGCATCCTAATCTTGTGGGCTGACAGTGCTCACAACAATATTATCGTCTTTCATTCGAATCACACAGATTTTTATGGAATCGTTCTTATTGCCTAGTAACTACTTAACGTGTAATTGTCATCGTTTAATCGACCAGCTTGGAAATCAAACGAACCGACACGTTCGAAGAATGTTGACCGCAGGGAAGAATGAAAAATGTTCCCATTTACATACGTTCGACGAATCGAATTCTACGGAAGGTTCGTGAGATGATTCAGCCACAACTGTATATCTAGGATCGTGATCGCGTTACTGTAACTCCGAATAAATCTTTCGGGAAGTAGATGGGACGGATGGGTGGTGTCCCCGTGGTGCAAAGTCACGCCTCGCGCCCCTGGCGCACCGGCTTCACTAATCGCGTTAGACCCGATATTCAGAGGATCTTCGAAAAAGGTGCTTCCTCTCCTTAGCCGTAATCCTAGCGGGTGGTCACCACCTGTTCATCCCTGAGACCTAACCGCCCCCCAAAGATCTCGGTAACTCCGATCATCTTGGAGTAAAGTAGTTTTTACCGGGGCCAGCGATCGAGCCATCCTCCAGAGAGATTAACCGTGTTACGATCTCACCGATAGAACCAATTTAAAAAAAATCTTACAGGACGAATAATGTAGGTATTATGTATTGGAGTGCTCTGTCTTTTTCCTTGGTCACGAAATAACTACCTGCACATTGACCCTCATCTGTCCATCGTTTTTCTTAGTTTGTCCTTCAGTATCAAGTTGACAGAGTGATAAAGAATGTGTTGAATCGACATAAGGGACGGATGAGGGTTAAACAGTTCTTAAATCGTTCAAGTTGATTGAGTATTAAATTTTATTGCGATCTTCAAGTGAACGTTTGCTTTCGTCTTTCAAGACCACTTATAATTTAATATCTAAACACACGGAAGCATTGCCAACTTTCGTATCGCGCCAAAGTACGCGTTGTGTTCGTTCAAGCGTATCTTGCGTGATACGTCTCATCGCGGGCAGATATCGCCGTGTCAAAAGGGTTAACCAACAGGAAACACTATTCCCATTGGACCCCATTTAATTACGCGAAACGTGCGCTCAACTTTGAAACGCATTACACCAATCCCAATCCACGTTTTGCAAACCTCGCCACAGAAAAGTCTAACCGCGGAGAAAGAAAGGAGCACGAATGGGAGGCAAGATAATTCGGATGAAAGAGGACTAACGGTTGAAACGTAGGAGTCGGGGAACAGTCCAGGAGGTTATGGATCGCGTTAACGATCCCGCCCCTATCCCCAATTATCGTGACATCCCCCCTGTTGACATTTCCAAAGGTGCGAGGAGCACGTATAAATGATCCAGGTAGAGCATAATGATCGAAAAGGAAGGTGTTAAAGATCCAGGGGAAGCAAAAGAGAGAGAAAAATATAAAATGAGAAGGTTCGGAGGGGGGGGGGGAAGAAACGAGAAAAGAAAAGAAGAGAGCAGGTCGGGCATGCGGTGGCCTAAAGAAAGAGACAGACCGATGGGGGGGAAAGGGGGAAAGATCAAGAAAGAGAGAGAGAGAGCAAGGAGAGCCACGGAGAACGCTCGCATCACATTCTAGGCTATTCCGCATTCTGTTCCCCCACTTTCCATCCGTCCACAAGCCACCGGCTCACCTCTACGCCTCCGTGACTGCTGGAAAAGTTGTATAACGAACACGTACGTACGCGTGTACCTGACACGTAGGTACGCTCGCCTCATCAAAGTGTGCTTCTCTCCTCGCGTGTCCCCCTCTATATGTGTGCATGTGTAATCTGTGTGTGCGTGTATGTTGGTGTATATTGGCACCGTAGGAACGTCTCTCGCGGCAAACCTCTATATACGAACACACGGGCTACCTATGACACGAGGGACTCACCTGCGTGCTCGCTCGTTCCGCGGCCGCTTATATGCCCGCTGCTGCAAATCCTACCGGCAGCACACGACGGCCACACCGGACAAACGACCAGGAACACGCGCACGCCCCAATGGACCGAGAGACACGCTCTCCCGAGTTCCTACTCGGCTCGCGCTGTTGCCAATTCATTTTTCGGTTTTTCTCGACGACAGCGATCTGAACGAACCGATTGAACATTTTACATTTAGTTACCTCCACTCCCGATCTTGTACCACTGTGTCAATCTAGGAAACCGAGTCAAACGGAAGAGTAAACGATTCTCTCGAAATAGGTTATGTACACCCACGAGCAAACTCTGCTTCCGCCAGGGAAAAAGTGACGATGGGGAAGGGCCTACTACCATGCTCCTACTATTTGGTATTGGGAATTATGAAATTTATGCCAAATTATCATTTATTCCAGTACCTGAAATAAATTTACCAAGTAGTAGAACGCCCTTATTGGCCCTTACCGTTACGCCGCCTTTTCCCCTAGTGGAAGCCAAGGTTCTGAGGGTACACACACCCCCTGTATGTTTTCTGGAACACGGAACGTGGAACGCAGTTTTCTATAGCTGCGTTTTCACGTAACTGTAAATCGTGAATTTTATTGTCATAACTAGACTGCGATTATTTATACACATTTACAATTTTGCACGATAAAATGCATAAGTAATATTAAATTATATTGGAATCTTTATTTTGCTATGTTTTGCAAGTCAAAGGCCGCTAGAAATGCATACCCATCCGCAGTCCAGTCGTGAAACTAAATATTCTGACTTCTGACGTCGTGAAAACTCGATGACGCGTTGTCATGGCAGTGGTTTACATTGTCATACAGTGTCACGTGGAAACGTACCTTCGCGTTTCAGTCGCGCGCATATCGGCGAGGAACGCGTGTAGCAACAGCCTAGTTAAATAGCTTGAAACACATCGATGCATCACCGAGAATCGACGGTTTCCGCTTCAGAAGCTGTAATAGGCGTATATCTGTGCCAAGTTTATTGGAAAACGCGCGAGCATACAGTATGTTCTCACGGGATGACTCCAGTGTTTCCCCCGTCGCCTTGTGACCAACGAGGCGGTCGCGCGGTTATGAACGATTTCCACACAACGAGCCTCGCTAACCCGATCGCAATTATCGCGTAAAGAGACATGTGGATGGCAATGAAAGTGACAGCCGCCTAGGATCTGGGCACACGACGTCGTCCACGGTACGCATGTATATGTATATCTCGGGAGTCGTTTAACGAATCGTTTATTGATATCGATCGCGCGGAATCGGACGACTTCGAGCCAATCCGATACTGATACGGACAGAGAACGCGATTCGAAGGTTACACGGAACACACCGGGATTGGTAAACTCGGAACTCTTGCTGGTAGGGATGCTCGGTTGCGATTCGATTCTTCAGAAGATCGAATCCCTTGTGTAATACGTCACTGCCATGCATACACTAACGGCCGAAAGTATGGGACCGGGACTGATAATTAAAAAAAGAGGAAAATACTATTCTTCAAAGAGTTAATGAAGATAACCTGCTAAAATTGATGGGAAGTAATTTGTATATGTACTGATTCCGTAACTTTTATTTATCGTAACAGAATAATGAGTAACTGTTCCATCAATCGTGAACTCCAGTTCACGGGGGAGATTAGGGGGGCTATAACCCTGGGCCCCACTTTCTAAGGGGGGCCGTCTAAACCTTTCATTTCGTTATAATTAAATATTATTTAATCTTATCTAGAATAAATTTCAATTTCTTAAGATTTATGTATTTCATTGTATGTTTCGTTAGAAAAATTGCTTACCTCCACCCCCCACTTTTCACTCAAGGGGGCCCTATAAGGTTTGATGGCCCCACAAATCTCAATTCGAGCCTGACTCTGGTCCCACACTTTTCGTTAGTGTATGTGTTATACATGGCAGGTGACGTCTTATCCAAGGGAATCGATCTTCCGAAGAATCGAATCGGAATCGAACATCCCTACTCGCTGATGACTTTAGGCGGGCCGTAATTCACGCGGGGGCCAATTTATCGACACCGGTAAGATTTAAATTATCTCCCGAGGGATCCGTTTTTCCGTGTTATACGCTCGACGAAGCCTCCAATCCGCGAGCAAACGCGACTCGAGCCACGAGAGAGAGAAAAGTCAATCGAGAAATAAGATACACACACCAAATGTTCTGTGGCCGTACGAGCCGTGACAAATTTTGACAAATACACGGGGATTAAGCTTGTTATCTCGGGAGACTCGATAGCGCTGCGGATCGAAACCATAAATTTCGCACGAGCAGATTATTTTTGACAACGTTGCTCGCCGCCTTTCGACGCGATATCGTGCTTCGATGAGATTCTTATGAAATTGCCGTATGTACACACGGAGAATCTTTAATTCCATGATCAGTTTTGTACGTCCCCCGATTATACAGACTTCACTCTAACGATATCCACGATTCTCCAGCCCTTTGCGACAATGTGATAAAATGGAGTTCTTGAACAAAACTTGTCTTGTTATAATGGTAACAAACATTTGGTAAAAACATTTTTTTTCCTAGTGAACCCAAGGTCACCTTCAGCTTTTCGAATTGAACAGGAAACGGAATCGAGAAAGGAATTCGCTAGACGAACGAGAACTCTGGTTTAAAAGTCATACAACCGGCGAAACAGAAGTAGAAAATTTCTCTCGAAATATGTAAGTATCTTTGTACGGATTACCGTGCTGTACACGCGAGATCGGTCTCAGAGAGACCTCACGATTGCTACACGCCCGTATCCTTCGTGTAAAAGCGTAAACAAATTATGACCGTGAAATTGGCCGCAACCGAATCTCGATTTTTCCCATGCGCGAACAATGCTTACCAACTAATTACTAGTTACAAACAGCGCTACGCTTTAATTACTCCCTTTTTTCCGTACTTTCGTATTCTCGACAGATCGATACGATCAATCAGGTCTGTTTACCAACTCGGAACAATTAACTTAGTAGTCGAAGCAACGAAACTGGACTCACCCTTTTGATTTTCTTCTTCACACCGACATTTGCCGGAGATTCTCTCCGAGTTTTGGAAAAGAAAACGAGTTGGTTTTCTCGAAATACATGTTCGAGGGAAACAAAAGAATCGGAACGTCGTGCACAGTCGTCGAACGCGGTAGAATGTCCCCGTGCCGCGACTCGATGGAATCCCGAAAAGCAAGGACGTTTACTTCTGGTGTCACACACGCACGCACGCACACACATCGTTCCGCGTGAACGTAATCCTAGGACGTTCCAAGCAGCCACGATGTCTCTGTCGTTTTGCGACACACATTCACGCACATCCTGCACGCAATCGAACGAAATTTCAAGACCGAATTACAATTCTTTAGTCGCGATGTCTTCGCTTTGCGCAACACATTGATGTAAAATCCGTTGCGTGTCGAAGAAAATTTTGAGAATGAACGTATAATTTCTTGCAGCAGTGCCAGAAGAATTCCCTTACCGTTTGGACAAGGCGACGTCCGCATAGAACTGTACACGTTAAATACGACTTGTGCACACCATGCTAATACCACTACGAATGAAAGCGAGACATTGAGTCCACAACACAAATATACCCCCTCTACTACATCCTCTACGTCACTTTGTCCCTACGCAGCCATGTTTTCCCTATTTCTAGCAACGGTGAATCCTTGGTTTGCGAACCAAACGATTTTCGATCAACTGCTCACGCATTACAGATCGGCGGGTTGACCACTGAAGGCGATACATTTGATTTGAATATCGATATATTCTTTATTATCTTTATATGTTGTGTTATTCTTATATTGGTTCTCTCCACACCTTCAAGCGTAATGTAATCTCAACACTCTCTAGACAATTACCCTCGGTTTCTTTTCTCTTATTTCTTCATTTTATAATTTCATAATTTTATAATCTCAAATAAATAAAAAATATCGATACTGTATCGCCCATCGCCAGTGCTTATTTGGTTAATGGATCCCGAGTGATTCGAGCGACAAACAAGGAGCACCCGTCAGTTCGTAGAAGGTGGACATACGGTCATTACAAGCACTCGTACACCACAGTCATCAACCTTGACACAACAAGTCAACGAGAAGTCCGCGTTCTAAAGAGACTCGGATCCCGTGAACGACCCAATGGATCGACGGCGATAGCAACGGCAAGCGCAGCGGTGGTCAACACAACAGCAAGAGCGCGCGCGCGCGCGTTCTGTCGGCCTGGAGAAGTGGATTTTACGGAAGGTGGCGAGCGATTGGCGACAGTGAAAACACGACCGGCCAAGACCGGACGACATTCTCGATTTCAATGCCGCCCGGACAACACGCGCGTTCCTATTCGATTTGCCCGTAATTGCCGAGATCTCGAGAGCGCGCGTGCACCTTTCTACCTTTCGATCGGTTTGGACTACTTGTCAGCCGGAAATGCCTCTCTAGTAACTGTATGATACAGCTGCCGAATGGTAACAGATAACCCTCCGCTCGCGCATCGTCATTGGTCCCTCTTCTTGCGATTCACATCGACCACGGAGGGTTAAATAAAAAAAAATATTTTAACAATTTTCAAGGATCTGAAATAAAAATTACGGTGAAAAAATAACGATAACACAATTCCAGCCTTGAAGGGTTAACAATATATCACGTTCGAACGTATTTTTATGTCAAACATACTAGTCGCCAATGTCCAGAAAAAGACATATTGTCCCATTCCGTTTCGTCTGTCGTAACTGTCACGGAACATAACCTAATTTTCACAAACTAGAACGTCGATTCGTTTTTCTTTTTCCGATAATTTCGTTGGTTACGTAACCACGAGACAGCTCGCGCGCGCGCTCGCGATGTTCGTTGCCGATCGACATTTCGAGGCGATTCCCGATAACGACGCGAAAGAATAATCCGTGTAAATATGAAAAAAAAGTATGTATGTAATTGCAAACAGTCTAATCTCAATGTGACATTGGCCGGTGGAGCGGTTTTAACCTGCACCGGCTAACGTTCGTATCTTTTACGAGCAGGACACATACACGCATTACGTGTTTGCCCGGGTGATAAGTCGCGCGTTTGCCGTGGGGGGAGCCAAGAAGAACGACAAACATAATGTGTTCAAGTCAAGTATATGGCCCCTCGTAATTCGCGTTTCGTCTCGTTGCGTTTTCCTTCTCGTCGCGAATCAACGCCTCTTAAATAGAATAACCCCTCGCGTCGGACGTAGTTTACCGGGTATCTCGCCCCATACGTCTGACGCGACTGGTTATTCTACTTAAGAGGCGCGCACTTCAACTTTTCCACGAGTTTTCGGAGACTTATATTCTCAACAGTTATACATAAAAAACGAAGCCTCGAACCCAATTTCGTCATTCTTGATTTTCCTCTTAGTTTTGCACGTAAAATCCACCCTGTAAAAGTGACCCACATTTTCCTACTAACACCCTATCCGATGATCAGAGCTTTTGGAAGCATCGCAAACAGGAAATTCGTTCTCCGTACCCGTGAATCCCAGATTCAACGTGACGCAACTTTTCCATGCAAACAGGGGGCCAAAGATACTTCGAGATTCGCCAAGGTATTCCAAACCGTGGGAAAACGAACGAATGGATACATACATCGCGGATCGAGATAACGTCACCACGAAGCATCGGTATCGCGTCGTCGGAAGACACGCGAACTTGTCATCGGAAATCAAACAGGCAGATCGTACGGAAAGAAAAAAAAAAGAAGAAATCGCAAAGCGCGAGCAAATAGTCCGCACTCTTCGATTTGCTCTTCCAGGTACCGTTCTCACATCGCTCACGCGTCAGCGATCGACCCGCGCTTACGATCGGAGGCCCCGCTTCCTCTATCTGCAAGATAGGGTTTCTGTTTGTTCAACCAAGAAAACGGACGAAAACTTATCGATACCCCCCCCCCCCAAACCAGCGAAAGCCCGGCTAATCCATGAATTTACTCCCCAAATCTTGCACAACTTTCGCGTGGCGATATCAGGAAAAAGGGATTCGAAACGCTTTGCTCCACGATCGGAAGTTTCCAAGAGAATATATAAGTCTTGACATCAAAATGCCAGCGAAGGCGAAAAAGGTCGATTCGAAAAAGATTGAGGGGAGGTCGCGATCATCAGTGGATCCGTCCTGTCTCTCTGGTCCGGTTCCTTTAAACTTTTTGTCCCAGCGGCCGAACGAAGTTTCTTTGCTCCGTAAATTACCATCGCGGTCCAACTCTGCCAATTAGAAAGCGAAAGACCAGGATTCGATCGGGTATTTTCATGAAATTTTCAAGGCCGGGGTCGGAGCTCAGCTCGAGGTGATCGAAACAATCTGTTAGGTTTTTTTGAAAATCATGGCGAATGGTCCCTAGTCGTCTTTCTGACGCATGTGGACAACTTGACGTCCAACGATCCTCTTCTTAGATTAGTTTCGAAACGCAACGAGATACCGTAAGTTGGGATAACTTTGACAAACAACGGATGTATATATATACGCGTGAGAGTTGGTTTTTCGGTGATGATATGGAATTGTATGAACGTTGTTTTGAGAATCAACTTAATTTAATGGTTTGCAGAGCTGCAACATCGAAAATTGTCATTCTCTGACCTGGCACGAAGTTACCCCCAACTTACGACACGCGAAAGTTTCCGGGGACTTTCCACGTGGATTTTCAAGCGATCGTTACCACGAAACGGATTCGTGAGAGCGAGATCGAGACACCGGAGGGATCGAAGAGCGGGTTGGCAAGGAGAGCGAACGGGGCATCTGTGGTGTGGAACGGTATGGTCTCGCGAGAGAGGCTTGGTTGCTCTTTCTCTCTCTCGAGCGGCGGTGCAGCTCGCGGTTTATGCTCCGCAGATACCAATCTTGTTTCTTGACCTATATCCGCCTTTGCATCCTTGCGCAATAGACTCGAAAGGCGTCTTCGAAAATCGCCGCGAGAGTTCACACGCGCCAGAGAGAGATCAACCCGTAGTTCTTGCTCTCGAATGTTTGCAGTTAATATTCTGTCCTAAAAATCATATTCATATTGTTTGATTTCTTAATTTACGGTTCTTTCTTTCTTATTACGACATTCCGAAACACTTGTTTGAAACAGTGTCAGTCCATTTATGCGCGTACGTTACGACGAAAATGTCGGAAACATTGTTTATTGTAATGATTGACGGTATTTTTTAAGTTTCGGTACAGAATGTATTTTTATTATTTTGTATTATTAACCATTTCAAGGCGTATTCTCGACTATTGAATTTTTTCAGTCATTTTACAATATTGAATTCTATTTCCTTAACATTCTGATTATGAAAGGCAATTCCAGAAATTTGCTTAATAATTTTTCCCTCACTATTTCTTCTTCCACCTGGATATGTAATTTTATAAAATATAAAAAATCGTATTATTTCACTGTTTGGTCCTTCATGGGTGAAGGTTTGTCACACGGTATAGATGCCGTTACTTTGTCCTTTTATAGGTTCAAGAATTTTCTGAATTTCACAACAATATTCTGGGAACACGTTGTCAAGCCTCTAAACTATAAGAAAATGCAAAAAAAAAATCGCTTTTATTTGACCGATTACACCAGAATACCCCTTGAACTCAACAATTTCGACTGCTGCAGCAATCTCCTAATTGTTTCGCGAGGTGTGTATCTCTGGTTTCCGCTTGAAAAAGGTTGCGGATCCCGCGGAGTCGAACCGCGTCGACAACACGCGCGTTACAAGGAACTTCGGTACTTTGGCTCCGCGAAGAAAACGGATTTACATGCGTTTCACGGAGCCCGGGCATTGCTGACACGATTGCTACGCGGGACCAGGGACACGTAGAATGCGTGTCGGTACGCATCTTAAAAGTCAGTCGGTGCTCGATGCTCTTCCTACATGGCCGCTGCTATACGCTCAGCCGTAGAAGGGTAAAGACCTTGTTCGAAACATTTCTTCCAGCTGAGGAGAGCTTCTACCGAGCGCTTATCCTATACCAGCTTCCGCCGAGCGCTTATCGTATACGAGCTTACGCGTGGTAGTGAAACTTTTATGATTTTGTACGAGCTGGAACACCAAAAGGTGGGGATTCACAATTCTCAGTCACGAATTCCCTAGGAACATTTTGTGTCTCCCCCTTTGGTTTCCATATACAAATTTGAATACAATCCACCGATACAAGATAGGTCTAACTCTAACGGAAAGATATGTTCGCTTAATTTTAATGTATCGAATGTTCGACTCTATTGAGTCGATAGAGGAAAAACTGTAACCGCAAGAAT